CAGTGTCGGGTTACTGACCACTCAGTTTTACTATGGAATGTTTATTTTTTTTAAAAATAGTTTGTGGTGTTTGACCTCCTTTCTGTTAGAGTGGAATGTACGTTACACTTCCCTTTATCGCTAAAATCAACTCCACTCGAACGTTAATTGCTGTTTTAAATAACCGCTAATTGGAAAACGGGCTATTGAATCAAAGGAGATGTACAAACCAGAACTCTTTCAGGATCTCCCGAGCCCTGACATGTACTTTCTCAACAGGTTCTGCTTGGATTCCGCCAGACAGACAAAACAAAGGCTTTCAGTCAACTGGTCCAACTTCAACTTGAAGAAAGCCGGCTTTGCTGCCCACTAGAGCAGGGAGATGGGTATATGACTGGGATAAGTACTAATAACTAACATGACTTTCTCCTGTGCCGAATGCTGCTCCGGCCCTGCTAGAGATGGCCTCGTCTCCGGTGCTGTGCGGATCGGCACTGATGCCCTGGCCTTTGTCCTCATCATCCTAGTGGACTGAAAAACTGCTGCTTCCTGCATTTGTTAGCTTGCGTGTAGACTTCTCTGGTTGTAATTCTCGAGCGTTGGAGACGGAGCAATAGTCTGTTTCCATTTCTGGAAGGCCCTCGGCATCAGTGACTTTTAAGCAGCTGTGTCGAAACTGGGCTCCCGGTTTGCACCACCTTTGGTTTCTGGCATTTCAATATGACCTCCCTTTCAGACAGAGTAGCGGATCCAGTTAAATCTGCTCTTTTGGCTATAGACTTTCCATGGGAAAATTACTATCCTGGGACATGCATCTACTTTGTTTTTCACAATCTACTGTTAAGAATGTACAAGTTACGCTATTTGTGTTTTGATTATTTCTTACTTGTAGCCAGCTTGTGTAAACTTGCAGAAGGAAGTTTAACGAAACGTACTCGCATATCCAATCAGTAATATTCTATAGTTGTATTAACACTGAAGCCCACCTGGCTAATTTTTAACATATTGTTAAGTAATATTAAAATCATGCCTTTCTTGTTGAAAGATGGAATACATCAGTATCACAAAACATGCATGTTCTTTTCTGTGTTTTTCACTGTCATTGTAGGGGGTGGAGAACCAGTATCTGGACTATTTGACAAGTAAGGAAGCCTATCCCTACACTGCCAGAAAAATTAGCTACCTTGACAAGGCTTTTAGAAAGCAACTGCTACAGTTCAGCATGTAAAAGACTAAATTAATTTAGATGGAATTAGGTATAATATAAATTTATATTTATATTTATTTATTTATAAATTCAATTTATAGCCCGCCCTCCCCGCTGCGTGGGCTCAGGGCAGCGTACAATCAGGCATAAGCCAACATATAAAACATTTAAAACCATTTAAAATCATTCTACAATATAATATAGTGCTCTAGATGCTCCAAGTTGATCTTCCACAAGATGGCGTATTATTGCTGCTCTCCCAACTCAGCGTCGTCTGTTCCGGGTAGTACTGACGTTCTTTCTTCCAGGGCCAGATAATGATGGTATAGTAGTGGCGGCTCCTACTCAAATGCCTGGCAGAAGAGCTCTGTCTTGCAGGCCCTGCGGAACTGTGCAAGGTGTTTAAGATACCTAAAATTAAACTTACAGATGGCACAGTTCTATTCCAGACATTTGCCCACTTAGTCCAGTAGTACTGCTTCCAAATTCTGGAGTGCCGGCAGAGTGACACCTTTGCACTGGTGGGAAGTTATTGCTGGTTAATTGTAGCACTGTCAAGATTCCACTTGTGGAAGGTGGGGGGAACACTGGGCAGAATTGGGGTACAGCAGGGAGGAGAAAATGTTTGCGTCCTGTGCCCCTGACGCTGGTGTAACATTACACCTGTGGACGATGGCATGCGTTAACATTGGAGTCCACGGAAAAAGCCCCTGACAACGGTCCCTGATCTCCTCCCCATCACACTGAAGAGTAGAATTCTCAATCTTCAGCTATTCAGGGCCCACCACCAGGAGTACGTAAGACCTAACCTCGGAAGTCTGAGCTCAACAATTAAAATGTACAGTATAGGATGGCACCCCTGTGTCCCCATCTCTCCTTTATATATAACTGAGTAAGACGCAGCGTCACACAGTGGAGAGAAAATGCGCACCAACAGTGTTTGGAGGCTTGAACTGTCCGTCAGAAGCTTCCCCAGCTTCCATTGGCTGTGTCGCCTAAGTCCCACCACAGAACACAAAGGCTGTAGCCCTGCCTCTGCACCCAGTCCCCTCAGACGTCAGACTACTGCTGACAACCACCTGGTGGGTGAGTGGAACCGGGGAGCACTTGAAGAGTGGCGGCGGCGGCGATAAGCCGCTCGCCGCTGTCCAACTCCACCCCCCCAACTAACCAGGGCTGGAGGGAATCGGTGGAAGGCCGGCTTTAATTTTTGCTGCTCCCCCGCCACCTTCGCCAGCTTTCTGGGGGCAGCAGGCGAGGGGCGGCGGTGGCGCTGAGCCAACCCCCGACTCCCTTTTCCCCCACTACCCCCCCTTCCTCACTCTCTCTTCCTTTTTCCCTATCTCCCTTCATTCTTTCCCTCTCTCACTTTCTACCTTAATCGCTTTGACTTCTTCCCCCCCTCCTCCCTCCCTCCCTGTCTGTCTGTCTGTCTGGCTTACTGACTGTCTATGTCTCCCCCCCCACCCTTCTTTATTTCTTCCTTCCTCTCTTTCTCCAAACCCCTCTATCCATCTACCTACCTATCTACCACCCGCCCACCCTACCTTTCTAGGGCCCATTGTCTTTGTCCACAATGGGCTTTGCTCCCTAGTATCTAAATAATTATCAATTTTTAAACATTTGTTTTCTCCTCTATCAAACAAGACTTCCTGAGCTGACGTACAGATCTTCACACTAGAAGCACTCAACGGGGACTTTGTTGATGGGGCAAACACCCAACCATCGGTCAGAACACAAGAACAAAAGGACGAAGACTAGCCGTTGTCTTCAGAAAAACCCCTTTATTTCTATCCTACACTCTTAAGGGGAAAATCACTTAACACCAGTTAAAAACAATATAAACAGTAACAAAGTGAAAGGCAACAGAGTAAAATCAGCAGCACAAATAAATGCTAAAAAGCTGCAACATAAAAATGATAATTGTACTTGTAAATTTAAAAAAAACATTAAAACAAACCTAGTGGTAAAAACAAAGCAATAAATAACAAAAAAGAGTAAATAAACGTAGAAACAAGGCAGAAATACAAAGTTGAAAAGCCACAAGGTTACCCATCAACAAATAACCACAAAAATAAAAATGCCTTGGCCTGGAACCTGGAATTTACCACTTTAGCGATAAGCAAATAGGTAAAGGAAGAGGGGTTCCAAAGGCAAAAAGCAGCACAACAAATAACGCCGTGTTCCTGCCAGCCATCCCCCTTGAGTGGGAGGGGGAAGACAGCAGTGCCTGTGGAGATGACCCTGCTGTGGGTCAGGTCCACCGGGGGGGGGTCCTAGACTCTTTGCAGGTACCATGCCCAGGACTCCAGACCCAGACACCTACGAACTTCCACTCCACTCCTGAAGCTGAGGCTGTTAAGCGCAAAGCACACCATAGAGGTCTGTGTGGGAGAACAGGCTCATGTAGGGAGAGAGGCCCATCCTTCAAAGCACAGCCCTTGCCTCTCCCGCATCCCGCCCATGAGACTTAGCCTGTGCTTGGTGTTGAAATTAAATGAAAGGAAATGGGGACTGTAGGGGCAAGTTATTTGGCTACCCC